ATGTCTTTCCAGCCCCCTGCAGACTTTCGTACCTTGTTCCATCTCCAGGGACATTTCCAAAAAACATCTTGTTGAACTAGCTATTGGGCATCTCCTCCAAATTGAGGCCATCAAGGAGGTACCCCTTGAGCAACAAGGGAGGGGTTTTTACTCCCATTTCTTTATAGTGCCTAAGTCTTCGTGGGGTTGGAGAGCAATTCTCGACCTCAAATTTCTAAACAAATGTATAGTCTACCAGAGGTTTAAAATGCATTCTCTGTTGTCCATTCTGGAGCGCATTCGGTCCAATGACTTTCTCTCCTCCATTGACCTCACAGAGGCATACTTCCATATTCCCATTCTTCCAGATCACAGAAAATTTCTTTGTTTTTCTTACGAAGGGAATCACTTCCAATACCGAGCACATCCATTTGGTTTGTCATCGGCCCTGAGGGTTTTCACTAAGATTCTTCCTGCTCTGGCAGCCCATCTCAGATCTATGCCGGTTAGAATTCTCTGTTATCTTGATGATATTTTGTTACTATCCAGGTCGGCGTATCGGGCCCTCCGGAACGTCCAGCTCACCCTTCAGACCCTAGAGGACCACAGTTTTCTGGTCAACTTGAAGAAGAGTCATCTGCAGCCCACAACTCATCTCATGCATCTGGGGGCAGTGATAGACACCTCTCTGGAACAGGTATTCTTATCCCCAGAAAGGCAGGTGAGCATTCACGACATGGTCTCATCCGTCCGCGACAAAGAGGCGGTTCTGCTCAACCAACTGTCTCAGCTCTTGGGCAAGATGATGTCCGCTTTCCACATTGTGCCGTGGGCCAGATTCCACAGTCACCAGCTCCAATGGCTTCTGCTTCCGTATCAGAAGGCAAACTGCAGTTGCTCTTCACACAGAATCCGTCTGACCTCTGAAGTAAGGCAATCCCTACGCTGGTGTCTCTCCCCTGCCATGACATGAGGGACTCTTTTTCGTGAACCCCCATGCATCACACTAACTATGGACTCAAGTCTGCAAGGCTGAGGAGCGTTTTGTCACTCACGGCCCAAGGTCTTTGGTCACGCTCTGACCAGAGGAACAGTATCAACTGGCTGGAACCGAAAGCCATGTTTCTTGCCCTCCTTTGATTCCACTCTCTTGTGGCCAATGTGCACATGCTCGTCCTTACGGACAATACCACCACCAAAGCACTCATAAACCGGCAAAGGGGGGGGGAGACAAAATCCTGGCGTCTAATGACTTTGTCTTTCCAACTGATCTCTTGGGCGGAAATCCACCTGTTATTGCTCAGGGCCAAACACATATGGGGATCCAAAACACTCAGGCAGACGACTTCAGCCACATGCACATCAATCCAGCAGAGTGGAGCTTACATCATCGCGTCTTCCACCAACTGACAGTCAGGTTCGGGCTTTCAGTTCTCGATCTATTTGCCTCCCAGGACAACACTCAGTTACCAAGGTACTTCACTTGCTATGCGACGCCAGGAGCGGAGGGCGCGGATGCTCTGAGGAGCGAGTGGCCTCTGGGCCATTCTCTATGCCTTTCTCCTACCCCTCTCATTTCGGTGGTGCGAAAACTACTGGTGGAAAGGGCAGAACTAATCCTGATTGCTCCTCGCTGGCCCCGCAGACCCTGGTTTGCCAACCTCATGAACCTCTTAGTAGCTCCTCCGTGGCAACTGCCCCAGTTCCCCTCGTTGCTCCTCCAAGGGGCGCTCCAACATCCAGACCTTCCGTGGTTGCGTCTCACTGCTTGGAGGTTGAGCGAGAAGCTCTAAGGACTGCAAACCTGTCTGCAGAGGTCACTGGAACAATTCAAGCCTCCAGACGTCCTTCTACTAATCGCATTTATGACGCCACTTGGACTCAGTTCTCTTTCTGGTGTCACTCTAAGGGCATTGTTCCTCTTGAGGCTTCTGTTCCTTTTATTCTCCAATTTCTGCAGCGGGAGCTGGACCTGGGGCTTTCACCGAACACTCTTCGTCGCCAGGTTGCGGCCCTGTCCTCAGTCCTCTCTCTGACTTCGGCTCAGTCTCTCTCTCATGAACCTCTGATCCATCACTTCTTGAGAGGTGCCACAAACATCAAGCCACCAACAATACACAAGATTCCCTACCTGGGATGTCTCCAAAGTCCTGGAATCCTTAACTCAGTCTCCATTTGAGCCTTTGCATTCTGTGTCCTTGCATGTTTTAACATTAAAAGTGGTTTTTCTTGTAGCCATTACATCAGTGAGGCAAGTTTCCGAGTTGGCAGCCTTGTCCATCAGACAAGATTTATGCATATTTCATCCAGATAAGGTAGTCCTTCGACTTGACCCGGGCTTTGTACCTAAGTTAAATTCTGTATTCCATAGAACCCAGGAATTGGTGCTTCCCGACTTCTGTCCTCAGCCATCACACAGACTGGAACGAAACTGGCGTTACCTCGATGTACGTCATGCTTTACACATTTATATTAACCAAACTGCTTCTTTCAGGCGTTCTGAATCTCTTTTCGTCAAGTTCCAGCCTGGAGGTAAGAGAGGTTCCAAGACCTCCTCTTTGGACATTGGTCGTTGGGTACGGACAGCTATTTCTAGGGCGTATTCCACACTCTCTCTGCCTGTGTTACCTCATATCACAGCGTACTCTACACGCAGTGCAGCCACCTCTGCGGCCTGGGCATCTCAAGCTTCGTTGGAGGAAATTTACCGAGCGGCTACATGGACTTCAATTTCTCCATTCATACGACACTACAAGCTTGATACGCCTCAGCTGATGCTTCCTTCGGATGGCGTGTGCTGCAGCATTTCATTGTCACTTCAGTTTTCTTTTCTTATTCTTTCCCTCCCAATGGGACTGTGGGCTTTGGTATGTCCCATGCCTGGATGATGTCTCTTCCTACTGGAGAATGGGCATTGGTACCTACCTGATACGCCCTTTCTCAGGGTGGTGGAGACATCATCCAGCCCCATCCTGTTCCTTTGACTTATTGCCTTTTCCTTTCTACTATATTTTTGGGGGAGATATAAGTTCTATCATTTCAGATTGCTAACACAGTGGTCTACAAGTCACTCCATCTATTTCTGGGGAGGAGCTTCATGGGTGTGGCTTTAATACTTGTAGACCCAGTCGTATTGGATCCTGACGGAGTCATACCCATGCCTGGATGATGTCTCCACTGCCCTGAGAAAGGGGGTATCAGGTAGGTACCAACACCCATTTCAAAAGAAAACTTTTATTGGAAGGTTGTGACAGCAAGAGATGTCGGTAGGAAATAACTTTTCCCACTTGAAACTTTAGATTAAACCATTGCAGACAGAGCCCCTCACAAAGTCCAATACATCATTGAGTCAATCCCGGGGTGTGAAGATGTTATGGGAAACTCAGACTGAGAAGGTGATAAATGCTGGTCTCCAAGGAAATGCTGCTACTCTTCTCCTGAGATGAAATAAGGCAGCTGCTCCAGGCACATTCCTTTTCCCCTCCCTAGGTCCCAAAAGTTTCAGCAAAGCAAAACAAGAAATAGAAACAGAAACCCCCACAGAGATCCCTCTAAGCTTTCCCTCTCCCACCAGAATGGCAGCGTTCCTATAAGAATCTATGGGTCCTGACAGGAATGCTGCTTAAGTCCCATAAGATGGTAATGGTTAAAGGAAGGGATTCAGAGCATGTTCACCCTATATGGTGTGTTAGGATGGGTAGATGTCCTTAGGAAAGTCGGTCCTGGGTATAACCTGGCTCTCTGAATTACAAGACTTTATGTGATGACAGCATCTTGTATCCCGAAAGAAAGGGCAAGCCAGTGTATCTCACTAGGCAAGAATTTGTGATTTTATATACCTATTTTTTGCACTATTAGACACACTCTCCCCCCGGAAAAAAGTGGGTGGAAATATCTGTGCATCTTATAGAGTGAATATTGTGGTGGGTGAGGGGTTGGTGCAGCGGCATTTGCTGCCACCACCTGTTGCCGCTACCATTTACCACTGCCGGGGAACATTGGAGCCTTTGCTGCCGAGCAGCTGATCAGCGGTTGGAATACTGCCGATAAGCTGTTGTAGGTGGTGGGGATCACCGCCGTTGCCATTTGCCACCACCACCAACCGCTGCTGCTACAGTGGGGATCCCCACCGCCTAGAACAGCTAATCATTGGTATTTCAGGAGGCTGATCCAACCACCAATCAGCTGCTCCAGAAGGCTCCAGGGTTCCAGCGAAGGCAGCCAACACGGAGGAGGCAAGCTGTTTGCGGCAAAGACACTAGCCAGATGAATAGTAGATGGATGCTGGGAGACAGAGGCAGGTTTTTTGTTCTTGTTTCCCTCCTCTAAAGCTAATGTGCGTCTTATAGTGCCAAAAATACGGTAAATATATTTACAGTAAAAAGAGAGGCAAACAGCAGCATCGTTCAGTAAATCAACACAGCAGGAACATCATCAGGTAAACCACAGAGCATACAGGGCACAAGGTGGGAAACAACATAACTCCCCCTTTACTCTCACAGCAACTAATTACAACTGAGATTCCCTCATGCAATTGCCAGCTCTCTTTAATCAATTAGCTGCGTGTTCTTACTCATTGTCCAACCATTCACTATTCCAGCTATTAAAATTTAAATATCTTAACACTTGTTTGAAATCTTAGAAAACATGCAAAATGAGAGGCATGAAAACCAGGTCCACATGTAAAGATGTAATTAAAATGGTTTATTATTAAACAGCCTATGAACAGGAATCTTCTCAACTAATGTTTAGTACCTCCTTGGAGTTAGTTACGTGTCAACTGAATTCAAGGGAGAGTTGGACTTAGTCTGCTTGTGGCTATGTGGGGAATCTAGGATGTTCCGTTTTTTATTTCCAGGTTCTACCACACCATCTAAACATAAACACATTTTTCTTCATTCCAGAAAATGGAAATATAAACTTATACCATTTTTGTAAGATCTATAAATCTAGCTTTAGTTCAGTTTGAGGTAGATACTATAATGTATTTCATTGCATGCATTTCTAAACTCAATTTTTAGGTATACCGACAGGATTGTGAAACTTTTGGTGCTGTGGTGAAGATGCTGATTGAAAAAGACCCTACATTAGAAAAACCTGTTCAGTTTTCTTTGAGACAAAATTTGCATGAGATTGGTGAGCGATGTGTTGAAGAACTTAAACACTTTATTGCAGAATATGATTCTACGAGTCAAGAATTTGAAGAAACGTAAGAAAAATTATGGGTTACTCATATATAAAGGCTACCTGATTCATGTATGCTAATCTAAATGTGTTCATCTTGCATTTGATCTCTTCATAAATTTGAATTAATTACAAAACAACAATATCATTTATTTAGTTGATTCTGTTTGGAAAATACATTGAATATATAAATTTCAGTCCATGTCAGCCATATTTTGAAGATCCTTAACAGAAAGTTGCTCCAATTATTGAAGCAGGTTGCTGAGTATGACAGACCATTTTGTAATTTTATTGATATTGATGAATGTATATAAAATAAACATACATCTGTATTTATATAAATTTTACATATGTGTTGCCTTTGAGTAGTTACATGAATTTGATTGGAAACCATTGTTAGGACAGTTCCATTAAGCTTAGTGGTTTTGTAAGTTGAAATAGCCTGTATAATTAAACTTCTTCAGAGTTAGTATCAAAATTTGCATTTTTTAAAGCTTTGTACAGTTGTATAAACAATATTTGTCTTTAATGGAAAATATATATTCTTATTCTCTTCTGCAGTTTCTGTAATTTCCACCACATTATGTGATATTTTTAGAAACGGGTCTAGTGAAGGCAGCAACAAGTGTTTTCAAGTGTGATTCATCATTTCACAAATGGTAGAGTAATTCAGACAAGATACTTCCCATAATTATGGGGTAGAAGAGTAAGTAAGCTCATAATTGCAATTCAGTAGCTAAGCTTTATCCAACATCATTTTGTTATATTCATCTGTTACAATTAGAGAGTAGGCTACTTGAAAGGATTCTTCCCACAATTGCAAAAAGGTTGGTTCCATTCACATATCATACACTATAAAAATGATTAACTGCCTCATGAGCAGCAGGATTATTTATTATAGTTGTCACTGTTCAAGTATACTTTCCACATGTAATATACAGAACAACTTTGGTCCTGTAAATTCACGTGTTGTTTACTCAGTAATCTTACCCGGTGTAAGATTATTTAATCCTAAAGTAACAAACAGTAACAGTTTCCTCTGTTTAAACAGATGGATGATTTGGAAGCAATACTTCTTGTATTCATAGGAATGGAGAGAAACATGATGGTATATGTTTGTTGTTTAAACCCATAAAATGAATAAACATACAAGTATGCTTCTGAACATTTCAATCTGTTCCTCAGTTTGCCTCAACTACTATGACCAGTGAAAGAGACTGTGAACGTATTAACTGAAAGCAGCCAGAACATACTGTATTACATTTCAATGCTCTAACCTACACACAGATATTGAGAAAAAATATGGAAACCAAATTTATAAATTATGAAAAATTACAATTACAGAAAGCCAGTTATTAGAAACTGAGTTAAAGAATTTATCTCACTGACTAAATAGCAAATGAAATTCAGCAAAAGCCAGTAGAAAATTATATCACTTGCATGCTGATGGAACCTGAGGCTACTTAAGATAGGTTCAATAAACAAATCAATATCCCACTAAGCAAAAAAGCTACAAATATAGATTTGAATTCAGTGGACCGTTAACCATTCTTAGTAGAAAGCATAGTATAATTTTATTTAGTTGATCTTAGAAATAACATTCGGCTGATTGTGAAAACATTTTTTTTTTTTTGGTTGTTAAAAGAATACATTGGGCGATATAATAATCTATCAAGGTAGGGTGAGATTAACTCACTCTTCAGAATGGCTCATCAGAGGGCTTCCTGGGCGGCGCTTACTGATGGAAGCAGCTTAACATAGCTGCTCCCGAGTTCCTGGTCGTGTTATCTGTTTAGATGATCGTCTATCAGACGTCTAACAGGTTTCTTACTCTTCGGGCAAGAAGGGAAGAAGATTAGTTCTGCTGTGCAAATGCCCTTTGATTTTTGCAGCTTCTGTGTCTGTGGAAAGAGGGGGGCCAGCCAAAGGCAGAACGGCATCCGTGCTGGGAATCTCCAACTGCTGTTGTGCAGTACGAAGTAAGAATCCTCCCACTCAGATCAAAGTTTGAACTATTTGATTTTAACATGAGCTGAGCTCTTATGCGAGGACTTTAATTGTTTATCCAAATCCTAGCTTCATTTTTTTACAAGATCTTCTTTCGTAAATTTATCTACTAAAAGAGGCATTTAAAATGGTGACGAGCCTGCTGGATTCTTCCGTAACAATGATTATTTTCTTATTCTCCTTGTTAAATTCTACAGA